TATAAAATATAAAACCCATAATTTATTAAATAATAATTAAAAAAAATAAAGAATTATGGGTGACACTTTATTTTACAGTGTCATTTGTTACATATGTTTCATTCGCAAAATTACATGATGCAACTAATCCTAAACCATACTCCAATCATCCTAACCCTATAGAAAGTACATAATTATTATTACTCGGTACTTAAATGTATAATTACAGTGTAACTAAGACACTTTAAAATAAAGTGTAACCGAATTATTATTTGTTCTAATATTAATTTAACACATACACACACACACACACACACGGTACCAACAAGTGTGTGCGCGCGCAACGGTAAGCTCTGGTTTTCCACGGGTACAGCGCGCGCGCTCCTCCCTTCAGCCGCGAGCTAAACACTAGAAGCGCGTGTGCTTGACAGGAGAGACGCGCTGGATGCCATGATGTTTTGCATCACCGCCAGTCCCCACATACACAGAACACCATACGGAATGATGACAGGTATGTACATATAATAATACAAATTTGTAAATGAATGGCATTATGTTGTGTGGAATTGCGTTGAGGCGACACAAACACTGATGCGCGTGACTGCGGCATCACCGCACGTGCTGGGCGCGAAATGTTAATTGACTCGCTGTAATTGTGTTTATGTAGACTGCGTGAATGCCCACAATAACAAATGTGCCGAAAGCCGCCTTTAGGTCGCTTTCAGTGATTCTCCTCTAACCGTTTTTGGTTCCCGCCCTGGTCAGCAATTTCTTACGGAAATTCTGTCATAATTTGAATTGAAAGCAACCCTAAACGGATCCTAATGGGAATTTCCAACATATTACAATAAGTATGTATTTAAGACACAGTATCTCAGATGCCCTTGTGGAACATAACAAATTAAGAATCTTAAAACTTTCACTTTACCCAGTAACATTTGATCCTTTTATAATTTCTCCATTATGGTTCCAACATTTGATAGAAATAAATAGGAATCCTTTACAAATTGCTTTACATTAGTTTATGGTTTTAAGTCAAATGAACCTTTACAAAACGTTCGGTTTTCATTAGAGTTCTGACAACATTTGTTTTTGGTTCAGAAAAACAAAGCCTGAAATAACCTTTACAGAAGGTTTTTATTAGGTTGTCGCACAAAAAACTACTTGCTGTTTTACATTAATTTATACTTGTAAAAACGTTAGGAGTTGTTTCCCCAAAATAACCAAACCAGAACCATATGGTAACATTATAGGAACGTTCTGTGTTCTGGGATGCTGTTAATTATGGGTTATTATGAGTTTTATTTTCTGCAGTCAGTCAAACAGATGCGTTGGAGATGCATCAGATGTTTGTGCTCGTGTTATGAATTCATCTGCAGGATGCTCAGTCAATGCCAAGGGCATCAGCTCTCCTGTGACCCTGTCCTCACAGCCCAGAGCTCACTGGACTGCTGGTTTTAAAACACAACCGTGACAATCCATCACTGCTTGTGTGTCATTGGAGGTTTTCCTCTAGAATAAATGTGGCTTGACTCTTGGTGTGTGTGAAGGTCTGACCCCTGCTGTCTAGCATCTGGTGCATTGATGCTCAGAATATGTGCAACATGCTGACATGCACTAGATCGTCCCTTGTTAAATATGTATGTTTTTTGGTGCATTTCCGTTAATTGATTAAATGCATAAAATTATAGTAGAGATACGATCTGTAATGACATTTCAGTCTTCAATAGCATGATGTTGGGGTGTTGCTAAGGTATTCTGGGTAGTTGCTAGGTGATTGCTTTCTGCCAAGTCACAAAGCCAAGTCAGCAAGTTGCTTACTTGTTTAAGTCAAAAGACTCCAAACTCAAATTCTATGATATTCGGGTCTCTAAATATGGCTTCCTTCTATGGCAGCTTTACTTCTCTGTTTTATCTGATTATAATAGTGATGCTTGCATTAACTTGCTTTCACTACTAGTAATATACTAGTGATATGTTCATGCAGGAGGATGAACTCAAGGCAATATTTGGTCATTTTGAGATTGTCGACATTGGCCAATAATATGTTCTTGCTTGGTTGAGAAGTGATAATTCCCAAAGACCTTAAAGGTGCAGTGAGCGATTTCTAAGAAACACTGTTGGTATTTGAAATCAACCCAAACAAACACACCCCTCCCTTCATTGCTCCGGCCACAAAATGCACGAAACATGCAGTGCAAGTGTGGATGTGTCTTTATCATAGCTGAAGCGGAGAAAAATAAAGCTTTGTGAAGATGATGAACAACAAGGAAGACCAAAAAATGAACACACAGTACACAAGAGTTTGTTTGTCACAAGCTCCAGACAAACAATGACACTCAAAACTGTCCTGTGCTAGAGCTGACATTACAACAACAAGAATGTCTTGGTTCTGTGAAACCGTAAAACTAATGTTACTCGTATGGAGCAGAAACAACTTTCAACCTCGCAGTTCATTTTCAGGCCTTCCTGCTTCTGTCTCTCCAGCGCTGGAAAGCTTTTCTAATATTAAAGCGTGTCCTAAAGCTCTGGCCTGATCATAACACTTCTTTTTACAGTGATATTCCTCTGAGCTTTTCTCTTTTGTAATGTTTCTCAGCCAACTCTCTTATTACAGTCTTTCTTTAAATATCTCCCTCTTGCTCGCTCACTCACCTCCCCCAATCATGAGTGGACACGTCCCCTACTGCTGATTGGCTCTCTCTCTCCTCCCCCATCATGAGTGGACACGCCACCTACTACTGATTGGCTCTCTCCTCCCCCATCATGAGTGGACACGCCCCCTACTACTGATTGGCTCTCTCTCCTCCCCCAATCATGAGTGGACACGTCCCCTACTACTGATTGGCTCTCTCTCTCCTCCCCCATCATGAGTGGACACGCCCCCTACTACTGATTGGCTCTCTCTCTCCTCCCCCATCTTGAGTGGACACGTCCCCTACTACTGATTGGCTCTCTCTCTCCTCCCCCATCATGAGTGGACATGCCCCCTACTACTGATTGGTTCACTCTCCTCCCTCATCATGAGTGGACACGCCCCCTACTGCAGATTGGCTCACTCTCCTCCCCAATCATGAGTGGACACTCCCCCTACTACTGATTGACACTCCCCCTACAATCATGAGTGGACACACACCCTACTGCAGATAAGCTCACTCTCCTCCCCCAATCATGAGTGGACATGCCCCCTACTACTGATTGGCTCACTCTCCTCCCCCAATCATGAGTGGACACGCCCCCTACTGCAGATAAGCTCACTCTCCTCCCCCATCATGAGTGGACACGCCCCTTACTGCAGATAAGCTCACTCTCCTCCCCCAATCATGAGTGGACACGCCCCCTACTGCAGATTGGCTCACTCTCCTCCCCCATCATGAGTGGACACGCCCCCTACTACTGATTGGCTCACTCTCCTCCCCCATCATGAGTGGACACGCCCCCTACTGCAGATAAGCTCACTCTCCTCCCCCATCTTGAGTGAACACGCCCCCTACTACTGATTGGCTCACTCTCCTCCCCCATCTTGAGTGGACACGCCCCCTACTATTGATTGGCTACTCTTCTCCCCCATCTTGAGTGAACACGCCCCCTACTGCTGATTGGCTCACTCTCCTCCCCCATCTTGAGTGAACACGCCCCCTACTACTGATTGGCTCACTCTCCTCCCCCATCTTGAGTGAACACGCCCCCTACTGCTGATTGGCTCACTCTCCTCCCCCATCTTGAGTGAACACCCCCCCTACTACTGATTGGCTCACTCTCCTCCCCCATCTTGAGTGAACACCCCCCCTACTACTGATTGGCTCACTCTCCTCCCCCATCTTGAGTGAACACGCCCCCTACTACTGATTGGCTCACTCTCCTCCCCCATCTTGAGTGAACACGCCCCCTACTGCTGATTGGCTCACTCTCCTCCCCCATCTTGAGTGAACACGCCCCCTACTGCTGATTGGCTCACTCTCCTCCCCCATCTTGAGTGAACACCCCCCCTACTACTGATTGGCTCACTCTCCTCCCCCATCTTGAGTGAACACGCCCCCTACTGCTGATTGGCTCACTCTCCTCCCCCATCTTGAGTGAACACCCCCCTACTACTGATTGGCTCACTCTCCTTTCCCATCTTGAGTGAACACGCCCCCTACTACTGATTGGCTCACTCTCCTCCCCCATCTTGAGTGAACACGCCCCCTACTGCTGATTGGCTCACTCTCCTCCCCCATCTTGAGTGAACACCCCCCTACTACTGATTGGCTCACTCTCCTTTCCCATCTTGAGTGAACACCCCCCTACTACTGATTGGCTCACTCTCCTTTCCCATCTTGAGTGAACACGCCCCCTACTGCTGATTGGCTACAAGTGTGTTGTGCTGCTCGGTCTGATCCATTTTCAACAGCGTTTCTCAGAAATCGCTTACTGTACCTTTAATCAGGGTAGATGCCATATTGAATTTTAAGCAGATGAAAATGAAGCTGTGAGGGACACTTACCTCCTAGAACAGTGTAAACATCCTTGATCACATCACGTCC